CCAAGTCAGTGTCATCCAAGACACCTCTCTCCATCCCACATCCAGTTACATCCTGCCAAGTTTGTCTGTTTCTTGAATCCTGCTCACGCCTCACCTAGTTTGTGTCCCTGCCTCCAGCCCCTCCCACCCCCTCTGGGAAGCCTGTCCTGACCAACCAGGCAGAACTGCAGACACTCCTCAAATTCTGTTTTATCTCACTATGCTCGATACTGATTGGTTTCTCAGAACAGCCTGTGAGCTCTCAGAGGGCAAGAATGGGGTCTTGTTCATTTCCTGATCCCCAGCCTTTCATAGGGCGGGGCCCAGCATAGATGCTGGATGAGTGTTTATTGAGTAAATATAGTACCTATCTCCTGTTTGAAGAGTTTCTATAATGGGGAACTCACTCATCCCAGGATGAACTGAACAACTTAGTTTTATTTAAGTTTTGATTGTTAAGAATTTTAAAAAAATCCTGTCTTGGACTTAAGCTGAAGTTCACTCTACATGAGTTCCCGGTAGGAGTTCTGGCTTTGTCTTCTGGAACAAAGGCCAGCAGTGGATGAGGCTCTAAAAGGGACAGACTGACAGTGGGACAAATTGGCTAGGGCTTTTCTCTTCTCAGTGTGGTCCAAAGACAGTGCTCAGGAATTTGTTAGAAATGCAAATTCTCAGACAGTACCCCAGAACTACTGAGTCAGAAACTCTGGAGGTGGGGCCTAGTCACCTGTGTTTTAACAAGCCTTCCAGGTGACTCTGAGGCCTGATGAAATTTGAAAATCAATGCTCTGACAGGGCTCCCGATTGCTGGTCCATGATAGTCTGTATCAGAATCACCTGGGGACATGAACAATTTTACCTCCAGAGATTTTGGTTCAGTAGGTCTGGGGTGGGTCCCAGGTAGTATTGACATATAAAATTCAAGACACCAAGTTAAATTTGAATTTCAGATAGTTAATAATTTTTAGTATAAGTAAGTCCCAAATCTGAAATTCATGAAATTCGAATTTAATTTAACCACATATCCTGTATTTTTATTTGCCTAATCTGGCAAATCTACCTACTTCTTACAAGCTTCCCAACAGGTTCAGCCATGTTTGGCCTACATTCTCTACAATCTTTCAAGTATTTGAAGATAGGGATTCTGATAGCCTCTATATTCTTATCATCTCCTCATTCTAGTCAGCACATTTTTGTTGATATAGCGTAAGATAACACATACTTTTGGCAGCCAAGCCATGTTATGATATTGACTCAGACTGAGTCTGTGACCATTGAAAACCCCTAAATCCTTCCTAAATATGCCACTTCTAAACTGTAGGTACCCCATTTCAATTTGAAAGTTAGTTTAGAACCCAGCTTCAGAATGTGGCATTTCTCACTATCCTGTGTCACCTTAGATTCCTTCCAGCTTTCCAAGCTGTTGATTTCTTTTAGATTTTGACTCTGAATTTATGAGCCTTCCCAGCAGGTAGCCTCAGTGAACTTGATCATCAGGTTGTCAAAGTTCCATCCAGTCAATAGTGAACATATTGGATCAATGGTGAGGACAGAGCTCTGTGGTCCACTACTAAATACTTCCTCTAATGTGGCATTGACCTACTGATTAACTCCCTTGAGTATAGGTCAATCTATCCAGCATGATGTTTCTTTCTCCTTATGAAATCTCATGAGAATTCCATAAAAGATAACATCGGATGCCTCAAAAAGAGACCCTGTGCCTTCAGTAACTCCCTGGTTTGCTAGGCCAGGAACCCCAATTTGGAAAAAAAGTGGGCTTAGTGTGAAATGACCCCTGGCCTCTCCTCAAGGGATTCTCAAGGATTATCCTTTTAATCACTTCCTCAGATTCTTGCCTGGTGCCCTCTAACTCACCAGGTGAAGTTGGTAGAATCCACCATATGTGCTATTGAAAATGCAAACCACACTGGCCCTCTGTGCCTTCACACCCCTCTCCTTTCCTTCTTAGTCATTCCTGAAAGATTTCCCTCAGCAGCCTAGCAATCTCACCTAGGCGTTCTCCTAGTGCCTGCAGATAGAATTTCTCTGGGTCTGGAGTCTGAGTGCTTTCAGAACTGTCCCCATCAGCATCTCTTTCCATGGGCCAAATTCTAGGCTGGGGAGCCTCCCCCACATCAGAGGGAAAGGCACCAGAGCAGCATGGCTCAGAACCTAGCTTTTCCACAGCTCTCACCGGGCCTGAGCACTTTCTTCCCACACCCTCAATGTTCCTCCTGCATTGCCAAGTGCTGAGGAGGCTCTGAGGAGACAGAACAAAGGGATGGCCCCTCCTCTCAAAGGGCTCACAGTCTAGAACAGGGGGTAGATGCAAACAACAAGTTGAACTTCAGTATCTAAAGAGGTGAGGACAAAAGCTATGAGAGTCAAGGAGGAAATGACTCATCCTCCCTCAGAAGTGGGAAAGGCTTCCCAGAGGAGTTGACATTTGGTCTGAGCCCTGAAGGATGAGTAGAAGTTCCCCGAATGGAGAAAAGGGGAACAGGTATTCCAGCACAGGAGAACCACATGGACAAAGGCAAGAAGGAGTGAGAGTGCTCATTTGGGGACAGATGAACAAGGCCGAGGGGCTGGACATTGGTTGCAAGATGAGGTGTAGCAAGGAGTGAAGCTGCAAGATAGCATAAGGCAAAGCATGAAGTGGTCTCGAGGGCTGTATTGAGGACCATGCCAAGTATTCCTCCTTCCCACCTCCCACTGTAATTTTCTCCATTTGTCCCACCCATGTGCACTGAGCTCCACCTGCTCTGGCACTTTGCTGGCACTAAGAGCTGCTAAACTGCCCTCAGCCCACGGGAGTAAGGTCTGTAAGCCCACCATGACAACAGTGAGTGGCAAGAGCTCTCAGACGGCAGCACCAGCCAGAGGGCTAAGTGAAGCTTTCCACAAAGTGGAAAGCATTCGGAAAGATGCCTACAAGCAGTGACTTTAAGGACACATAGGAGTCAGGAGAAGAGTGACCCAGGGGAAGGGAGAGGCAAGTGGAAAGATCCGGAGGCAAGAAAGATGGAAAATCTGTTGGGAGAGGGGTGAGTTACAGCTAGACCAAAAGGCAGGCCATGTCACCACGGGAAGTCACTAGAGGCTGTTAATCAGGGCATGACACTGTCTGATTTGCTCCTGGACCAATCTTCCAGGTTGCTGATGCAGGATGGATAGAGAAGGCAGGGGGGCCAGGCAGGACACTGAGGGCAGAGTAGACCAGAGTGAGAAGCTTGAACTGAGGTGGCAAGGAGAGAGGAAGTGGATAAATGTGAGCAATGTTCATAAGAGGGGATGAGAGACAAAACTTGATAATAAGTGAGCTGCAGCGGGCCAGGGCAGTGGAGGTCTCTAAGCTCTATACATGTCCCTGGCTCAGGGGACCAACATATGGAGGGATCACCACAAGTCAAGCACTGTGGATAAGACAGGTGGGGAACAGGGTTCCCAGAGCTCTTTGTGGGAGCTAGGTTAGTGAGTGATGCTTATGGGGTACCCTAGGAGAAGCCCTGGTGGACCTGGGATAGGGACAGGCAGGAAGCCAGCAGGGTTTAGTGATGGAGAGAGGTCAAAAGAACAGCTTTGGTCTGTAAACGCCCAAGAGCCCTCCTCTCCTGAATAGTCTGGATGATGATCCCAGGCACAGGTGGGGATCAGAGGTTGAGAGGGGGCTAGTGACATTCTCAGGGTCACATAGCAAGGAATAGAGGAGCCTGGCCTAGAACCCAGGGACTTGGGACTTTAGGGGATGGCAATATAAAGGAGCTTATGTTCTCATCCCCTTTATAGCCTCTTGTGCCTCTCACAGTCACCCTCTCTGTTCTCTGCCTTCCAATCTCTGGGGCTTTGAATAAGCCCCTACCCCCATCACTCTGAGGCCAGTAAGGCAAGTGCGTGTTGGGAATTGTGTGGCAGGGAAGGTCCATCCAAGATGTCCAGATATGCCCAGTCTCTTCTTCTCTTCCCACCCCCCTCCACTCCTTCCCTCCTTCCCATCCCACTCCCTGGGAAGGAGGCCTCCCTGTTGCTTAGCAACTAGCAGAGCCTTAGAGGAAAGAAATGGAAATAGCTCAGGAAGTGCCTCCCTCTGTTAAGATAGGCCCTTGGTGTGTGTATGTACACACATGTGTGTGTTTCCACGCACATGCATGGGCATACTCTACTTTGGGCCTAGTGTGAAGCCATGCTGATTCCCATGTCACCCTCAGCCTATTGAACGATGTGGCCTGGAAAGCTAATGTCAGTACCACTTTTGGTCACATTCTCAGTAGCAATGTTTCCAGAAGAAAGGAGAGGACAGTTCTGTGGGCTTCAATCTGGATCAGGCCCCCACCTGGACGTTGGCTTTGGAGAAGTTAGCCCGATCAAAGTGGAAACTGAAAACTGCATCTTTGGTGGGAATGAACCTGAGCCTGGAGAAGGCTCCACCTTCCATTTCTGGAGGACTGCCCTGGGAGCAGACTGGGAGTGAGGAGCATTTATGGTCTGTGATCCCGCAGGCCAGAGCCAGGACAATGAATGTTTTGAAGAGGTGCGTTTAAACTGATCTTGAAGGGAAAACAAGACTAAAACTAACGAATGAATATTCCTAGGGGCCGATATTGTTGCCTGAAGAGTTGCAAGCAGGTGTGTGGTAGGGTCTCCTAGTTAGACCCAGGCATTGGTTCAAGACAGAGAAGGCTGCCCTAGGTGGTTACTAGGTCCCTAGAGATGACTCCATTCCAAGTCAAGGGCCCTTAGAGGCCATCTGGGCCGGCCTGCATCCACCCATCTCACAGATAAGGAAAGCCCAGTGTCCAATTCCCCTCATGTCCTGAGGTGTGACCCAAAGATGCAAACTTGCCATCCGCCCCCTCTCCTCAGCCTGAGGGGAAGCGGATTAGAGCCATGAGTGTGCCTTTAAATCTCCAGGATTAACCCGCGCACAGAAGAGCTTAGCAGGTGGCCGAGAAGTGACCATCCCGCCTCGTGTTTGTGTCCGTCCCTTAGGGCCTAGGCCAGCGGCTCCAGGGCCAGCCGCTATGTCCTCCACTGTTAACAACGGGGCGACCAGCATGCCATCCACGCCCGACGCTGCGAACGGCTTCCCGCAGCCCGGTGCCTCCTCGGGGAACTGGCCGCGGTCCGAGGAGGAGCTGCGCGCCGCCGAGCCTGGACTGGTGAAGCGCGCGCACCGCGAGATCCTGGACCACGAGCGCAAGCGGCGCGTTGAGCTCAAGTGCATGGAGCTGCAGGAAATGATGGAGGAGCAGGGGTAAGCGTGGAGGAGGCGGGGCCAACGGGGGCGGGGCGGGGCGGAGCCAAAGGGCGAGGACGGGGCGGAGCTGGGACCCGGGCGTAGGCGGGCAAGCGTGGCAACCCTAGAGCTGAGTCAGGCAAGAGGCCAGAGTCTGAACTATTGGGGTGGAACTATTTTAAGAACAGCCGAACTTTTGTTCATTTATTAGTTTATTAAATCGATAAGCTATCTTGAGCGCATGCTCTATGTCAAACTCTGAATTGGGCTCAGATTCACAGAAGTCAAGGAGACAAACAATTCGTGCCTTCCAGAAACATCCAGTCTGGTCGGGGAGAGAGGCATTTAAACATCAATCACAACTCAAGGCCTCGGTTTCCCCTTCTATAAAGTAGGTGGATCAAGCTGCCTGGATTCTGCCAAGCAGGTGGGACAGCCAGTCAAGAAAGCACAATGAGCCCTTGCTGTGTGTGAGGGCTGCTTCTGGTTTCTGCAAAGGAATTTAGATTTTACCTTCTTTAGTTCAGAGCTAGTCACAGGGGCACGCACGTGTGCCAGGCACGGTGCTGGGCAATGCTGGAACCCAGAGCTGGATTGGAATCACTTCCTCAAAGTCCCTCCCCATCTCAGAAAGGAAACAAGCATGTTAACCAACTCTACCACAAAACAGATTAGAATCATGGTTATCCGACAGGAGAGGGCCGAGTGCTTCAGGAGCTTAGAGAAGAGATTCTGAGAGAAGACGTTTGAATGGACCTTGAAGGAGGAGTAGGACTTTGTCCAGCTGAGAAGGAGGGGTTGTGAGAGACCTCTCTCGAAAGTCTCGGGAAGATGGAACAGCCCTCACACATGGAGCTAGAGGCAGAGAAACAGAAAACAAAGCCTATTGGTTTATGCAGCTCCAAAGAAGCTGGTGGTCCCAAGGCTCTTTTTTGGATCTTCTCTGGGTACTCTGAAACAAGCGGGCTGGTTGTGGAGGGAGTCAAACTTGGGAACAGGGCCTGCTCATCATATATGCACTGTCAGTGAGCTGAGAAAACAGAAATGCAATGCATGGGATTGGGCATGGAGCCCGATGGGGGCAGAGACAGCCTACGTAAAGCAGTGCTTCCAAACCACACTTTTGTCTGTCCAACCAGGCCTCTTGGCCTCCCCAAGAGGCAGCCAAGATGTGGCTCATTGTTCCTGTGGAGCCCAAAAAGTCACTGAGGCTCAGACAGAGACAGTCACCAGTGGAAGGCCATCAGGAAGGCAGGCCAAGGCTGGGCCTGGGTCCAGGGCCACTTGTGGTGTTTATAAGGGAAAGAAAGGGGCATAGGGACTTGGTGTTTACCTCCAGCTGGGGATCAGGTTGGGGAGGGGAGAGTTTCTGCCGAGAGAGATGGATAGTTGGAAGGCTGCTGAAAACAAACCAAAAGGAGGCTTCCAGCTGGTACTGAAAACAGGTTTGGTGAGCAGTGGATGTGGGCAGAGGAAATGAGATACCCAGGGCAGAGTTGAGTAGGGGCTAGGATGGAGTATCTTTCTGCACAGAGAGCCCCAGGACCTTAATTAAACCTGCAAATCCTGCTGAGTTGGGCAACTCCAGGAGTGAAGGGAATATGGGCAGATGGAGGTGGTTAGGGAACAGGAGGGATGACTGGGACAGAGGAGGGAGGGCCAGCCTTCAGGTCTTTATTTTTGGAAACTACCCGCTACTACTCACAGAGCCCCAACCCCTTCCTGCACCCCTTTCCCCTCACTAAGCCCCCTGGTCTTCACTGAACTTTCCATTCTGAAAGCCCTCCCCCTCCAGAGCCCTATCCTTTCAGGGAACTCCAAGGCCCCTCCCTCACCAAGCTCTTCTCACTCCTCAAGCCTCCTCCCCCTGGCTGAATCTACTGCTCTTCCGTGAGACCCAGCCACTCACTGCACACGGGAGGGTCATTACCAGGTGCGGGCAGCCTCAGGTAGATGGGGATGGCATTGTGCCATGTCCTTAGTGTCAGTCCCCTGGCATCACGAACCTGTGCCTCTCTGGGAATCACCCACTAGGTCTCCAGATGTTCAATGAGGGCTTCTTCCCTCAACCCAATCCCTCACAGCAAGTGATCCTTAGATTGGAATCTCCCACAAATCTAGCTCTCTAATCAGCATCCTGTCCCCTCCCATCTTATAGTGGCAGCCTGGCGGCACAGCCACTCTGAAACTCAATAATCTGGGCTTCCAGCCCAGGCCTATGACTTTGGACAAGCCACAATTACTCACCCGGAAAATAGGAACACCTGCCTTCCAGAGTTCTAAGGGTCCTGTGGACTAAGGCACGTACAGGGCTCCTTCACCCAGCCAGTCCCAAGAAAGTGCTCCACAAGCACTAGAGAACTTTGCCCTGTTATCAAATCCAGTCATTAATATCCATTTCTAGAAACACTGGTTCATTCGCATTTATTTACCAGGTTCTCAAGCATTTGACAAATATTCCCACTAGTCACAGGAACACACATTCTTTGGACCCATTAAAAAGCAATCCTTTCTTTTATATTGATGGATGGATGGCTAATTCACTGGTGATTGACGCTGCATTTGGAGTCACCCTCCAGAGCAGTCTGAGTGTAGACTGCCATCACCATGGGGATGGGAACAGAGCCCCCAGCCTGAACAATGTGATGCTCCCACACCAGCCAGAAACGTCACCCCACCTACCCTACCCAGGCTCCCTTCTGTGAGGACATGGTGGTGGTAGCAAGGTGGACAGAGCAGGCTCTGCCCATAGCTGAGCTTGAAGCTTTGAGCCTTCCCCTCTCCCTGTTCTGTTTCCTTACCTATAAAATGGGAATAGTGAGACTGCCCATTCCCTCAGAGCTGCGGTGAAAATCAAATTAACGACCAAGGAAGGGATTACCTAGGAGGCCTGGGTCTGGGTAAGGACAGGTGGAATGAAACATTTCCCACTCTGGGGACCTCTTTTAAAATTCATTGTCCCCCCACCCACCCTAGCCCCAGAGGGTGACCTAGGAAGTCCCAAAAACAACAACAAATTTGGCATGTCATTCTCATAGAGTGGAGTGGGGACAGAAGAGCCAGAATGGCTGTGGCACTGAGATAGACATCACTGTCCTCCCTATCCTCGCTCACCTGTCCAAGTCCTTGACTTTTATTCTGAGGCTTTGGCCAATGCCATCCAGGCCTCCTGCATGGTTGTATGTTGCCAGGTGCTGCCACTTCCACAGAGAGTGGATGATTTGGGTACCAGCCTCCCTTCCAACTCAGCCTTTGCCTCCTGGGAGAGCAGAGAGACAAGGCCCAGGTGATTCCTGACCGGGGACTAAGCTGACCTGGCAGTGTTCTAGGGTGGAAAAAAGCAGTGAGCCTGGGATAGCTAGACTTCCATTCCCACCACTCTGGGACAAAAAAAAAAAAAAAGTCCTCAGTCACTACAATTTATTAAGCACCTATTATGTGCCAGGCACTTCACAGAGAGCTTTATATGCATCATCTCTCTTCATCTTTATGACAGCCTTGAAAGGCAGGTTATTATCCTACTTCACAGATGTAGGGGCTAATGCTGAGAGAACTTTCCCAAGGTCATAAAGCTAGAAAGTGGGGGTGGGGGGTAGCGGGTGCCAGGACTCAAAAGCAGGACTGCCTTTCTCTCCTGTCTCACCCCTTAATCACTGTCTCATGTGGCCCCATCTGTGAGAATTGACCTCAAGAGATACCAGGGGACCTCTTCGTCCAATAACTTATCATCATCCCTGGGTCCCTGGCTCCTCCCAGCCAGAAACTCTAGGACATAGAGGGGTTCTCCCCAAGCTTTCGAGTCGGTTCAATTCAGAACCCCAACACCCCAATAGCAGGTGCTAGAGTTAGTCAACTTGCCTTAGATCTGCTGGCTCTGGTATGAGCCCCAAGTTCCTACACATGTCCTGCTCCAGGTCTTAATGAAACCCATCTCCTAGCTGCACATGCACCATAGAGGCTCCTGGCCTGAAGCCTCTCTCACCTAACTGGGGATCTGCCCCAGCCTCATCCTTGGCCTATCTTTTCCCCAGCCCCACCAGATCCAGGGCCTTATGCCAATGGTCCAGCCAGCCTGCATTTCCCTCCCAGGGATCTATGAGTTAGGAGCTGGGCCATGTTAAAGGGCCTATGCTATTTGTCTCTGTGCTGGTGACAATGACAATGGTCTCCTGTGGAGAAAGTGAGAAAGTGAGATGGGAGCAGTTCCTCTGTGCCCACACTGCTCAGAGAGAAGCCACCGCCCCTTCTTCCTGGGCACCAGGCCAGCCTAGACGTCTGAGAGCTCTGCACTGCTCAATGCACAAGGCCAAAGACCTTCCAACCAAATGCTAAACAGGGATTGAGGTGGACACCATGAGGCAGGGCCTAGAGCTTGGTGAAGTTGAATTAGAGGTGTCAGCACAGTGTGGCCTAAGCACCAACCCCCTATACACAATCTCCCTGTGATGGGGGTGGGGAGTTGGAAAAGATAGGCCTCTCCCCATGCCAGGTAGGATGCAATCCTCCCTATGGTGGGCCACAGGGGTTCCTGAACCTGCAGAGGGTCAGACCCTAGCTGGGGGTTAGGGAACACCTGGTTGTGCTCCTCATCTATCCCCCCGCAACATGTTTAATCAGTCCTCAAGTCCCAGCCATTCTCCCATCTAGACAGTTTTTTGTACACTTTCCCCCTCTCCACCCTCAGGCCCACTGTCTAGCTCTGACTTCACTGTCTTCTGCATGAACCTTTGCAGTAGCCCAATGCCAGCCTCCCTGCCTCCAGGTCCCTCTCCTTCAGCCACACAGCCACCAAAGCCATCTTTCCAAAATGAAAATCCAACCTTCAAACTCACCAATGCCTCTCCATCACCAGTACTAATTTATCAAAAATTTTGAGTGCCACATGTGGCAGGTAATGTGCCCAGTGCTGGGGACACAATGGCAATCCAGACAGACAAGGTGCCTGCCCTCAGGGAACTCCCAAGCCAGTGCAGAATACAAAAGAGTCAACAGATAATGACTTGCACATGAATCACCTG